AGGCACGCGACCTGGCCCCCGGGTGGCTCGGTTCCTCTTCCCGCCCTGCCCACGTCTCTCCCACGCTCCACGCCTTCCAGGGCCCTCCTTGTATTGGCTGAGCCCGCCAAGCCCTTTCGTCCTCCCAGCCAATGGTAGGGCAAAACTTGGTCGGGAGGCGGGGCCAGAGCGCGCTCGCATATCCGACTGGCTGGTGAAGGGGCTCGAGGACTCCAGCCTCCCGGGCACAGAGAGGCGGAGACCTCCCGCTGCCTAGAAGGGCCAGAGGGCTGGGATGCGAGGGAGCGGGGTGTCGTTGACGTAATTTCTTCCGCGCTTTGCTCCAAGATGTGGGTCAGGCGCTTTCGTGAGGGGTATGTGGCAGCCTGGCGTGGGGGTCCGGGCGGGGTTTCTGGGAGTGGGTGGGGGACACAGACCGGGAGCCCCCCCTCCACCGCCGCCCGCTGCGGAGACCCGGGTGCGGCAGCTCTAGGGGTCCTTGCGGGCCTCCCCCTCCCCTCGTTCGGCGTCGTCCCTTTGTTTTGGGTTTTGTGTCCCACTAGGCGAGGCTGCCTGCTCTGATCAGGCAAATAGTAGTGACAGAACTGTGTCGTCCCCGCCCCTAGCCAGTGGCCGCCCTGGTAATAGCGGTGGGTCGAAGTCCAGCCCAGGCTTTCAAAGGACCTTTCAGCACTAGAGGGTTTGAATTAGGTCACCCATCCAACCCCGCGGTGTTCCGGCGAGGGAGCGGACCCGAGAGGAGTGCAGAGTCTCGCCCAAGGTTACTCACTCGCTCATTCATTCATTCATTCAACAAATACTTACTGAGCACCTACCTAAGTAGTGTGCTAGGTCCTGGTTTCAGGTGTGCGCAAGGCAGAGCTACATTCTGTTCGGGCCGAAAAGGTACAAGCTTGAAGGGTTAGAAGCGGAGCCCGGGAATCTGGGGAGGCAAACACAAAACACGTTGAGGCCCAGTGATCCTAAGAGATGGATAGTTATTTAAAAAAATTCCCCTGGCCGTCTTTTAACACCTTATTTTTCCTGTCTCCCTAAAGACACTTGACTCAGCGAAGATCCTCTCTCATCTCCCTTCTGCAAACTTCTGTTGGAAAGCTGAAGAGCAGAGAACTTCTCAGTTGGAATGCACTTTGCAGTTAGAGGAGAATATGGAGACTTTTAGGTATCAACAGAGCAGCTGAAAGGGAGTGTCGTGGGGTGATGGATGAAGATTTCCTTCAGACACAGAAGGCTTGTCTCTCACTAGCCATGCGACCTTCAGCAAGTTATTCAACCTCAGGAGCTTCGTTTCCTTGTCTTTAAAATAGGAATGGTCATCCTTACTGCTCACAGTTCAATAGGAAGGGGAGTTACCCAGGGAAGGGACACTGCCCTGAGTGTCCACTTGGAGTACAGCACTCAGAGAACTCAATAATTTCTATCTGTTTACAGTGATTCAAGACCCCATTAGGAACTTCCTTACCAAACCCAAGAAAGCGATCAGGGAATATCTCTGCTGGGTAGATCCTCTGGAGTGAGGCTGCTGTGCATAGGAGAGAGTGAGTGATGCCCTTCTCTCCTGGGCAGGTGAGACCTATACTGTGAGATTAGTTAGTCTGGGGACAGGAATCCTGCCTGCTAGAGAATATGGGCTGAAAGGGAACATATTTTGATGGCTATTTGTCTAAGAGGAGAGAGAGGTGAGGGGGAGGGGCTCAGGACCTCAAGGAGTAGAGTTTGGGGATGAGAGAAAGGGTGATGTAATAAAACTCAAATTTATCAGGAGACTTGGACTTGAGTCCCAGCTCCACTCTCTAAGTTCCAGTGTTCCCATCTCTACATTTTGATATAAGACTAGGTGGCTGAGGAGGTTCCTTCCAGCTCTGACATTCTGAGAATCTCTGAATAGTTGGACTAGGTCAATCTCGTAGGGAATTTAGGCTCTTCGATGGCCCTGTTGAGACAGAATTGCCAACAATGCAATTGCATTGTCATGGTGTTCAATACGGAGCACAAAAGGGATGAACCAGGTGGAGGAGGGATGGTGATGGTCGTGAGTGGAGGATGCACATCTGACCATGCCTACACCCGGACAGAATCAGGTAGAATCCTGAACTTGTTTAATTTAGCATTTCGAATCACGCAGCATTTACAGAGCCCTCTTTGTAGCAGGCACTGGGTGGGATCCACATACGAGCACTGAGGAGGGACACACGTACACACAAGGAGTTAGAGTACTAGGCAACTCTAGTTTATACAACAGTTCTGTTATGGTGTGTTCTAAAGTACGGAAATTTCTATATGGTCAGATCTTTGTTTTATGCTTAAGGCTTAGGCTTTTCCCCCAGAGCAAGTAGTCCCCTGATATTTCTTTTCTTTGTTTCTTTTTCTTCTCCCTTTCAATTTTTACCTTTTACTCATCTGTTTCTCTGGAGTTTATTTTTAAGTATTGTGTCTTGTTCTTCACTCTGTTTCAGGGAATCAGTGACCAAGGGCCACATGACCACTGCTCGGAAGGACTGAACAGGAAGGCAATCCTGGCAAATTAAAGGAATACAACCTCCCTAGGTAAACTGTGTGTGTCTGTCTCAACGGGACTCTGCCTGTTGTGGGTTCCTTATAACCTTAAATGAATGGTGGTCCTGAGATCAGAACACTCACCCATCAGTCTCAGGGATTTGTGGATCAGAGACCTGTGGGTCCTCATTGGTCTTCATCCATTTGTTGGTTGTCTTGAGACTGCACTTGTGTGCACAGTTGCCTGGGTTCCCCTAATGTCCTGCTGGCCTTATGACCTCATCTGTCCTTCCTTCTACGTCTCTAGCCAAGACCCCACCTCCTTAATCCCTGGGAATTCTTCTAGGATTTCTGAGGGAATTTCCCATGCAGTGGGGCGGAAGTCAGATAGTTAGGTTTCCTTTTGATGAAACTGGCCTCAAACTAGTCCTCCCTGATCTCCTGACAAGTCTTGCTTCCTCCTTTGGTCCCTCAGAACCACCCTGGGCTTCGTTATAGCACATCCTTGTGCATTTCTGTTTCTCTCTACCTGTCCTTCCAACTAAAGTTAGAAGCTTGCTAATCTTATCATTCTGTATTACCATTCTTAAATTTTCATTCCTGATATTCTTCCTCTTATCAAAAATGTTTTCCCACATCCCTGTCCTTCTTAGTGACACTACCATTCTTGATATTCAGACCTAGATTTGATGACCTTGAACTCTTTCCTTCATTTAAAAGGAAAAGAGTTTTCTGCGTTTAGTCTATGTCTGTATGCTTCCCCGTAATAACTGGACTCCACTGCTCTCTATCCTGTCATTTTCCTAGATTAGGGCCTCACTATCTCATTCACTCATTCATTCCTTCAATAGACATTTACTGGGCACCAAGAAGGTGCAGGCCTCTAATGGTCACCCATGCTGCGCTCTGAGGCTCCTCCCAGCTCATTTCCTTTGCTTCTTCCTTCTTTCTTCACCTTTAATCCATCTGGGCTAATCTTCCTAAGGTATTCGTTTTCTAATTTCACTTTTGGGTAGGATGATACAAAATTTAGTGTCCAAACTGGGATGCTTTTGTGAGTTGGCAGGGCTGGGGGGGCACTATTAATAGTGATGCCAGAACAACAGGTATCAACCAACACTATCCTGGGAAAATCAGGGTATATGTTCACCCTACTCCTAGGCGGCATCTCTTGGATTCTTTCTTTTTATTTCCGTCACTTTACTCCTCCTTGGGATACTCCAGCTGCCTCTCTCCTGTTTTCCACTTCATGAAACAGAAAAACATAAATGTGCTGTGGGTAGAGGGAGGTGTGGGAAGTAGGGGAAATGAATGTTAATGCTCGAAAAATGTATTAACATATTAACATATTCTTGACAAGTGGAAATGAGAAGGGAATTGACAGGAGAGCAAATAACAAAGTCGAAAAAGAACGTAGAGCGGGGAAAGGAGATTAAGGGTAGATTTCACTCCTCTGTTCAGAATAACATTGATCATCAAATCATATCCATGATTTTTGCCCCATAATTTCAGTGTTCTGGCTGGTATCATTTCAGGCAACTTGATTCTTTAATTCCTTCGTTTATTAACTCAACAAAAAAATTATTCCCCATGCTTGCTAGGTGCTAAGAATACATTGGTGAACAAAATGAACAGAAACCCCTGCCCTCCTGAAGCATCTCATAATAGTATAATCTCCCACTTATTTCTGACTACACTGGCCCCATCTTAACTTCCTCTTAAGGAAACAATTCCTGCTGCACCTATTGATCCATAAGCCTTCACCGTGGCCTCTATGTCTGACCTAATTTTCTCATCTTTGTTGATCAGTTCCCCCTGCCCTTGAACACTCTGTCTTCTGTGGGAGACCCTGTGGTCTACCACATCCTGTTATCCTTGGTAATTCTCCTTCTGCTAGTATGGAAAACAGGTGATATGCAATTTCTGTTTCTTTTGTCAGATGGGAAACTGGGACTGAGGAGGTATTGATTCCAAAGTATCACTCCTGGAAAATCAGAATCTCATACATTCAAGAGAACTCCACAGAGGTGTTGCCAAGAAAGTCAAAATCTAGAAAGCTCCACTGAAGGGAAAGAGAAGTTTCAAAAGGCCACTGGGATGCTCCAAGCAAGAAAAAATGAGAAAGACAAGAAACTTCAAACATAAGACAGTTAAAGACAATAAGACACTCACAGAAGTGAGTGGCCACAAATCTGAAAAAGGTGGTCGTCAGTGCTCTGCAACAAAGGAGAGAATCCAGGCTGAAAGGAGACAGTATGTATGTACTGAGTGTGGGAAAGCCTTTAGTCAGAGTGCAAACCTCACGGTGCATGAGCGAATCCACACAGGAGAGAAGCCCTATAAGTGTAAGGAGTGTGGGAAAGCCTTCAGTCATAGCTCCAACCTTGTTGTCCATCGGCGAATCCACACTGGACTGAAGCCCTACACATGCGGAGAATGTGGGAAATCCTTCAGCGGTAAGTCGCACCTCATTCGCCACCAGGGAATCCACAGTGGGGAGAAGACTTATGAATGTAAGGAGTGTGGGAAAGCTTTCAGTCGGAGTTCAGGTCTCATTTCACATCACAGAGTTCACACTGGGGAGAAGCCCTACACGTGCATCCAGTGCGGGAAAGCCTTTAGCCGTAGCTCAAACCTAACTCAACATCAGAGAATGCACAAAGGGAAAAAAGTCTACAAATGTAAGGAATGTGGGAAAACATGTGTGTCTAACACAAAGATTATGGACCACCAAAGAATTCACACAGGGGAGAAGCCTTATGAATGTGATGAGTGTGGAAAAGCTTTTATCTTAAGGAAAACCCTTCATGAACATCAGAGACTTCATCGTAGAGAGAAACCTTACAAATGTAACGAGTGTGGGAAAGCTTTTACTTCTAATCGAAACCTTATTGATCACCAGAGAGTTCACACTGGAGAGAAACCCTATAAATGTAACGAATGTGGAAAAACCTTCAGGCAGACTTCTCAAGTTATTCTACATTTGCGAACCCACACTAAGGAGAAGCCCTATAAGTGCAGTGAGTGTGGGAAAGCCTACCGTTATAGCTCACAGCTTATTCAACACCAGAGAAAACATACAGAGGAGAAAGAAACCTCATGAATAACATAAGCTGTTGGCAGGAGGACTGATTGCTACTTTTCAGAAAGGCAGTTTTTCAGTATTATCAGCCTTAATTCTATTTCTAAGAATCCATACAGGGAAAGTAATCAGAAGAAGACACAGATTAACAGAAGAGATGTTCATGCTAGCAAGGTATATAATTGCAGGAAGAAAACTAGGTTTTCAACCGTACAGGGTTTAAGTCAATGATGGTCTATCCATAGAATGGTTTTGCAGCCATTGTAAGGATTTTTAGAGAATATTTAATGCCATAGGGGAAATGATTTGGAAAATGGAAGATAAAAGAAAGAAAAAACAATGGCGTATGATCCAAATTTAAAAAACAACAACACATTTATGCATAGGAAAAAAATGAGAATGAAATAATACCAAACCGAAATGTTTATAGTGATTATCTCTGGGTGGTAGGATTACATGTGATTTCTATTTACTTCCTTATACTTTTCTATGTTTTTTCGATTTTCTACAATGAAAATGTACTCCTTTTATATTTTAGGGGAAAAGTATGGTATTTTCAAAATGCAATGAGAGCGTGCTCATTTTTGCTAAACAGTGTTAGGGGAGGCACATAGAATGTAGACCCTAAAGTCCAATACTGGCACCTAGCAGCAGTGTAACCGTGAACAAGTCACTTCCTTTTAGAGCCTGTTTCCTGTTTAGTAAAAGCATAAACACCAGTCCTTGGTCTTCTTTCAGCTTTAAGATAAGCTGACTCTATAGTTGTCAACCAAATGTATATCCATTTACTCCATCAATGAGTCAGTAGAACAGAGCACAAATTTACTATTTCCTTTCCCACAGCTGCAGAAGGACCTGCAGATGATAGGACGCCCGCCGAGGCTCCATCTTTGCAGTATATGTCTGCAAAACCAGCAAAAGTGTGTCCTTATGAAACTGAAACAATTGCAGGTCCATAGTCTTTAAAGAGATATAGTCAGCATGATCTGCAACTAGGGGAAGACTCCTTCACCTTCGCATGTTATATAGAGGTTAGTAGCTAAAAGTGTAGACTTTGGGGTGAGAGACGCACGTGTTTTAATCCCAAATTGACACACTAGCTTGTCAGTTTTGGACAGGTCACTAACTGCTCTTAGCCTCGGGTGTGTCTGCAAAAAAGGACTGACTGTCTACCTCACAGGGCTGTGGGAGGATGAGACGGCTGATGATACATGTAAGGTGTGACGAGCTCAGCACATGGCAAATAATAATAGCTTAAGTAGAGGACATTGGAGCAGTGTTTCTAAACGCTTAGCCAGTGGTTCCAGAAGAGTGTTCCCTAAGGGGGCATTTCGGGGATTTCCAGGTGCAATGAACATGAAGCCAAGTACTTAAAGCTTAAGACCATCGTTTGCTTACGGGGAAGCCTAGAGGTAAGCAGTTCCAAATTTTGTTTGGCAACTCAGCAGTTTATCAGGTTTCCATCTTAACTCCGTAACATTCAGCACGTGGTCTTTCTGTTTTTGCAACCTTATGGTTGCATGATGGTGGCCGCAGCTGCAAGCTCTTCCCACAACCCCGTCAAACTCAGGAAGCGAGGCAAGGAGCTGAGACTCTCTCATCTGGTTTCTTTCTCTTTTTATCATTAAGGGAAAACCCTTCCCAGGAGGAAGGGATGCTGAGCAGTCAGTTAGAATCTCCCCACATTTAACTCAGACATTCCTCTTCCTTTATAGACCGTGAATCCCTAAGCCTGATGCCATTCATCTTATGCACATAGTGATTTATTGTTTCAGGAACTATTGAGGATATGTTAACTCATTTAATCCCCAGAACTTTGTATAAGAAAACTGAGTGTCAGTGAGGTTAGGTGACTGGCTAATAAGTGGTTGGAGTCAGGATCTGAACTCAGATCTGACTTTCAAGTCCGTCCTTTCTTCCTTATGCCAAAGTGCCTCAGCCCACCGCGGTGGTTCTATGTGTGGAGTGGGAGACCAGTTGGGATTCTTCTGAGTAGCCACTTCTATGAAAGGTGAGTGTATCTGGACAGTTATTTCATCACAGTTTCATAAGGAAGATGCTTTTCTGAGTTAGATTTATGGCCTCTCTCCGTACCTTGTAATTTAGTTGTAAGGACTATATATGTTTCTTCTTTGCTGTTACTGGAAAGAGGGAAGTGGAAAGTATGAAGGGTATATTTGTGTAAAAAAGGACTGTTTGGTTTTATCCTGTTTTCATAGGATAGTGGCTTACACATAATGTTATGATATAATAGTCCCTCTTTGCCTAGTTATTCAGAGCAAGGTTTGGAGGCTCTGGAACAGATTGCTGCCTTCAGGGGGCAGGACTGACTCCTGAGGAATATGAAGAGGTGATATTTTAACCACAGACACCCTGGTTGTGCAGAGTTGTTCTTGTGTGGAATAGAAATAATATGTTTCTTTTTAGTTGAGAGAAAAGGAGTGAAATAAAGTCATTTTATATAGCCTTGATTAACAGGAAATATGACCAATAGGTTGTTGCACAGAGGAGTGTCTCCCTAGGTTTAGAGATATTTGTAATTGACGGCATGTACTGTTAGGGTTTACCTGGAACAGAAGAAAATTGAAACCAAAAGAGCTTCAAATGTTCGAGTAATTCTGTTGAAAGTAAATTTCAGCTTGGTATCCTCAGTGACAGACTTCCTTCGTTGGTTTTTTCAATTGAATATAAATAAAATAGCATCCTTATATTGTTAGATTGTTTTTAGGAACTAGACTGTCTTTAATTACCTGTGATGTTATAAAACTGGAGTCATAAAACTGTTTTTTGCAGGAAGTAGTTATAATCCCACTAATAAATATCTGTTGTTATTTACTTGTTATAAATATCACTGATTTTTTTTTCTTTTCACTTCCTTCCTTTGTTCAGACTAGGAAGAAAACAGTTCGGTTTGCTTTTCTTTACGCAAATGTTTTTGGAATGAAGAAGTGATTCTGGCGTGTTTTCTGATTCAAATGCACATATATCCATCAGTGGCAAATTAATAGATTGTTATATCCATGAAAGGAAATGCTTTCATTTTTGCAAAGAATATTTAATATGTGAAAATACTTATTAAATATATTGATTGGTATATTGAAAAAGACTGAAAATATATATAATAAAAAATTAATTTTAAATAAATAAATAAAAATAAAAGATACAATAGAACAGTATGGCAAGCCAAATAATCATAAAGCCTTTTGGCTACAAAACAACCTCAAATACTAGATAAAACTTAAACATCCTTTAAAAAGACTTTCAAGAAAGTGACATGAATCCTCAGAGGCTGAAACGAAGTGGAAGCCAGAAAGGTAAGTGGGTGATGATGCCTTGGGTGACATGAGGCAGTTGGTGATCTTAGTCCAAGGGACTTAGATTTTATCAGCTGCAAGGGCAGGATTTGAGTTTTGGGGCTTAGAAGAGGTGGAGAATTGGAACTGAGATCTCCATGAGAAGGCTGGATGTTTATAGGGCTACCCCCTAGTGAAAGTAACATGAAATTAGGCATGTACATTTCTAAGTATACATGGAACAGTTATTTTAAAAAATTGAGTTATCTAATTGTTTTGAGTTGAGCTTTATGGGAAGTAAATTTAAGACAGGATACCATGCAGCAAATTTACTGGAAAGTGTTATTGGGATTAACACCTAGAGAGAGGGAAGAAAGCAGGATTAGTAGTGGGAGAAGTTAGCTGTGTTGCACTCACAGAGTTACCTGTGTTGCCGTTGTTGTCTTCAGACTCGGTTAGACTCGGATGAATAACCTTTCAAAATTGTCCAAACTTGAGGTGAGAGGTCTGGGCCTTTATACCCTTTCATTGACCAGTCATTGAATACCAGCTCTACCACATTACCTTGAAGTGAAGCTTGATCTTGGTTGAGGAAGACTTCTCCAGCTGACTGAACTAGGATAGGTCCTGGAGGGGGCAGACAACTGAGGGCTTTCAGCCTGCCGCTTTAGTGAGGTGGGGGAAAAGGGGACAGTCTAGAGGAATCCAGACAGTGCAGCAAAATGTCCTCTACATTGATCATAATGTAATTAAGATAGTAGTTGGGCTTTTCTCAGGTGGCCTGTCCCCTTTTTCAACTTTCCCTTTATTATGAGTTCCCTCATTCCTACAAGATTCCTCCCTGAGGATGAAGGTTAGGTGGTGGTGGTGGTGGTGGTGGGTTATCCCCAAGATGGACATCCAAATCTGGGTCCTTCTAAGTGACACTGACTAGAATCTATCCACTATGGATGCCCTTCAGGGCCCAGATAAACTATAATTAACACTCTAAAGTATATTTGGATAAATCCAGGTGTGATGGTTAATTTTATGGGTCAACTTGACTATAGGATGCCCAGATATTTAGTTAAAAATTATCCTTGGTGTGTCTTTGAGGGTGTTTCTGGATGAGGTTAACATTTTAATTGGTAGGTTGAGTAAAGCAGATCGCCCTCCCCAATATGGGTAGGCCTTATCCAGTCTGTTGGAGGCCTGAATAAACAAAAATGTGGTGCAAGGATTTGTTTTCTTTCTACCTGTTTTTGAGCTGGGACAATGGTCTTCTCTTGCTTTTGGACTCAGTCTGAGATTTTCACTATCAACATTCCTGCTGTGAGGCCTTTAGACTTGGACTGGAGCTGTACCTTTGGCTCTCCTGGGTCTCAAGCTTGTTTACTGAGGCTCTTAGGACTTATCAGCCTCCATGATCATTTGAACCAGTTCCTTCCATCTATCTCCTAATGGTTCTGTTTCTCTGGAAACCCCTGATAAGTATACCTAGTATATTCAGGGCTTTGTCAACCCAATAAATGTCCTTTGGGGGTGACTGAGATTGTTGTGGATATTTTCCATAGGGTCTTATGAGAGGAAACAAAAGTTATGTTTAGCTTGGTGTAAGGGCATAAACATCATAGAGATAGGTATTTGAGAAGAGGCTGGAGGCAGAGGGCTCACAGTTCAAGATGGAGCTAAGACCTCAGAACTTTGATCAGCTAATATGGAAATCCTACTCTGAATGTTATGGTTGTGTTTCTCACCTTTTTCTAGAACTCCACTCTACCAGCGTTGCTTTTAATGCAAATTAGGGTGTGATTGATCTGTGACAGAGGATCTGGTATAATCCTTCCCTCCCCAAAATGTAAGACCAACTATACCCTCCAACCAAGTTAAGACAAAGTTGAACAGGAGAACCACCAAGACAAGGGTTGTGTTGATCTTGCTTCTCAGAGATGAAGTGGTGCATTATCTCATTATTTGGGCAAGAGATGCACAAACAAGTAAACGAATTCACAAGGGGGTCATTTATAAGCCATGTTATTATTTACGGTAAGAGCTGCCATAGGTTCAAGAATAGGTAGGAAAAGGTGCCCAGGAGGTCACTATGAGACATTACTCCCAAACAACTCAATTTAAATGCAAAGTAAAACCGAAAGGTCCAGCTCCTTCAGGAGGCTACATGTGTCCTGAGGGCACGGACCTTGCGGTTCATCTCTGCATCCTGGACGCAGGTCTGGAAGGCAGCAGCCCTCCCACTCACTGGCTGGCAGGAACCAAGCAAGAGCCAAGGCCCCGCGAGCCCGGCGAACCCGGACCTCCTCCGGGAAAAGCAAAGGAACCATAGAGATGTGGCTTCCTAGAGAGGCGGGTGGGCTTGGTGGGCGTGGTGAGCAGCCGGAAGTCGCGGGACCACTGGTCCTCCATTATTCTGGGTGTCGGCAGCCGTCGCGCCCTGTTCGCGAGTCGTTTCTCGGCGCCTCCGCGCCTAGGCGACGGCA